CTCTTTCCCTGACTAACTCTTGTTTCTTTGACTAACTCTTTCTTTGACTAACTCTTTCCCTCACTAACTCTTTCTTTGACTAACTCTTTCCCTGACTAACTCTTTCTTTGACTAACTCTTTCCCTGACTAACTGTTTCTTTGCTAACTCTTTCTTTGACTAACTCTTTCCTTTGCTAACTCTTTCTTTGACTAACTCTTTCTTTGACTAACTCTTTCCCTCACTAACTCTTTCTTTGACTAACTCTTTCCCTCAAAATGGGGAGAAGAAAACTCTTTGAATGACTAACTTTTCTTTGCCTAACTCTTCTTTGACTAATTCTTTCTTTGACTAACTCTTTCCCTGACATTCTAAAAGTCCGTAACACGGAAGTTTCTCCCCCTAAACTTCCTTTGATCAGCGTTGAAATGTTCCAAATGCCAGACATTTAAGTCTTGCTTGAGCATCTGCTTTAGACTTGGCAGCAACATTGCTGCAGTTTGGGTTGGGGAAGAGCATATGTTGAGTCATCCGAAATCAGCACAAGTTCATGTTTGCCCGCGGCCTGGATGAGAGAAAACAGCATCTCGAAAGCGAACGCCCTGGGTACCAGGAAAAGCATCGCAAGCGCTTGATGCAAATGGCCAAGGTCGGGCAGATGAGAAGGGCGAAGGACCTCCCCACGGAGGGTGATAAGTCAGACCTCCGAAAGCGGGGACGGTTTGTAATCTTAGCTTCGGATTCATAAGGGGGGCGCAACCCCCCCCCAAAACAATGTAAAGCTTCCCCGCAATTAGATTTCTGTTCATACATATATATATTATTTATTTATTTATTTAATTATATATACACATACACATACATACATATACATACAAATATATATATATATATTTAATTATATATACACATACACATACATACACATACATACACATACATATACATACATATACATACATATACATACATATACATATATATATATGTGTACATATGCATTACACATATACATAAACATACATACGCATACATACGCATACATACGCATACATACGCATACATACGCATACATACGCATACATACCTACATACCTACATACCTACATACCTACATACCTACATACCTACATACCTACATACCTACATACCTACATACCTACATACCTACATACCTACATACCTACATACCTACATACCTACATAGATACATAGATACATAGATAGATAGATAGATACAGACAGACAGACAGACAGGCAGACAGACAGACATACATACATACACACACATACATACATACACACATACACACATACACACATACACACATACAGACATACAGACATACAGACATACAGACAGACATACATACATATATATATATATATATATACATATACATAAAAGTAAATACACATATATATATATATTATACCTACACATACATACACATACATACGCAGGTCTGAAACAGGTCTGAAGCTTGGAAGGGTAAGGGTTGCTCTCCACACGCTGCTCTCTATAGTTTCAAAGCTGTGTCAAAGTGGTCTCAGACTGGTAATTGAGGTTTTAACTGGAAAATCCTTTGTAAATGGAGGCTTTAGCAAGAAAAGCTCTCGTCAGTGGTGATATAGATATTATCTGAGTTGCTTTCACCTTGTAACTTTTTCCCCTTGGGGAGAGGGAGAGCCAAGCATAGGAGATTTTCCCACAAAAACATCCGTTTGCACGGGATTTTCCCACTTGTATACAAGTGCTTCTCTTATTAGATTGATGTTTTTAGTGGAAATTTTCTTGTAAATGGAGGTTTTTGTGGGAAAATTCCATGTAAAGTGGGAAAATTCCTTTTGGTTTTTGGTGGGAAAAGGGAATGCCAGATACTCAAAGTAAAGGGGCGCAATTGAAAACCAATACAAAAAAACTGCTCGGCCCGAAAACATATATATTATTTGTGATTATTGTGCGTTTTTAAGGCCAACACGAAGTAGAAGCAAACCTTTTCCGATTGGAACATCATCTCCCAGGTTTCAATTTCAATGGCCCTCATTGGCACCACCAGCGCTGGAGGTGCGCCCAGACCGAGTGGCCCTCTACAAGCGTCACCATCAGGCATGGCTGGGCTAGGGGCAAAATTTGTTTCTCATGTTCAAGTGGTCGACTAGAGTAATCCAATCAAGGGGAATTTAATGGGAATTTATCCAGCAACACTGGGGATGAAGCCAAAAAATGTTGGATATATTAAATCCCTTCCCAAAATTTGTGTAAAAGATCCTTCAAATCCTGGTTGTGTATTGGACCCCTTTTTTTGTGGGTTGCCGGGTGCCTAATTGTACTTGAGTGGGAATCATCCCATGGCGGGCTCATGGGATGTCTGGTGCAGGGAAAGTTTTCCGAAAAAAGGCATCCGATTGTTCAAGATGAGATGTCGGAAGAGTTTTTTCGCATAATCCAAAGAACATTTTAGGTGATGAACCATTTTTATAGTGTTTTGGAAACAAAGAACATTTTTTTATGTCAGGGAATCCAACTCAAAGTTCCAAGACATCTTCCCAGCACTTGTTTTTTCAAAGGACAGCCTGACCACCAGGCCGTGTGGCCGGAAGTGGAGCAAGGCCTGGCGAAGGCCGGGGTCGAAACGATTTCTATCTGGTCGGATCCCATGGACGATTGCGCTCTATATATGCACCTTGGACATCCGCTGATGGAGGAGATGGGGGTTGGGGCCAGGGATTTTTGCCTATGGAGATTCATGGCGTCGAAATAGTTTGAAGATATCGCATGAGATAAAATCGTATTGTGATTCTAGTTGGTGGTTTGGAACATGTTTTATTTTTCCATATATTGGGAATAATCATCCCAACTGTTACTCACTCCATCATTTTTTAGAGGGGTAGGTTCAAACCACAGCCAATTTTCAGCATTCTATTCAGGATCAGCCAAAGTGGCTGAGGAATTATGGAGTTCTGTAAATTGGTACACTGAGTAGGTGGGGAGATCAGAAACGTACACCTCCTGAGGGAGAAAGCTGTCCTATGATTCCATCCTTGCAAGGTGATCGAGCGGACAAAGATGACATGGGCAACTCCTTTCGTCAGATCATTGGGGGGTATCATTTTCGTAAATTTTAGTAGTAGCCTAAATATGCCATAATATGCCTCAATTATTAGGTAGTACTGTACCCAATCAAACAACCAGGCTACGTCTTACTCTGGGATTGACATGCTCCCCGAAAGGGATATACTTAAAGAAACCAAGAATGACCAATCTTGTGCCCCCCAGTTACAAGTTGGTTTAGAAGACCACATCAAATATTTATATAAGTCACAAACCGACTTTGCTCTCTAATCTAACTACGGTGGCACCTCCATTATCATTTATTGTGGTTATTGATAATGGGGGATTACCCCAATTTCGGGTTAGTGCTAATCTCATCAAAATATATTAAAATTATCAACCTCCAATATCATCATTACCACAGTGTGGTTATTTTTGGGGCTGTCCCGTTCTGGAACATATCCCACAGAAATCTGGGGGCCCAGGTACTTAGAGCTGGCCGAGGATGCAGAAGACTTGGGCGAGGGCTCCAGATATCGTGAGCATCCCGTCGTGCGCGTGCCTTGGACGCGAGGATCTGGGGAAATCTTGGAGGGCTTAGCCATCGAACATGTAGAACTCATGTAGGTCTTATATGGCTTTATCATGTCTAGAATCTGTAAATATAGTGAATCAGTTTGATAAAGATATTTTTAGGGAATTGAAACATCAAAAAGATGAGGGAAAGCCACTGGATACCAAGAAGGCTGCAGGGCATCTAAGATTCAGTTATCCCAGCGAGCCAATACAGTAATTCTTTGTGAATTTTGATGAATTGTGGCAACCCATCAGGCAAACCCATTGGCCGCAATGGTGTTCTATCTCCGGGTGATTTTACTCTAGGCAAGTCAGAGAGGTTTGGCTGGAATGGCTGAACGAATAAGTTGGGGTCACCCGGTCACCCGCTGAAAGACCATCAACAGGTCTGCAGAACTTGGAGGTCCCAGGCTTTTGGGTGATGAGAAGGAAGGATTTTTGGAATTTGTCCATCTAGTAGTCAAGGTCGAACAATACAGGCAGCAACGTGGGTTTGTCTATAGTTTACACATGTTTAACTCCCCCGAATCCAGTGGTTTCAAACCTTTCCCTAGCAAAATGGTTATTTCAGACGCATGTCAACCATAGTTTCCTGCTTTCTGGGTCCGCCCAGGAGTGGGAACGTGCCATGGAAACTGAATTCCATTCAGGCACAAGTTGTTACACTGGGCGGTGAGAGCTGTAGAAATTGGGATGAAATTGGGGATGGTGTGAACGTTAAATACCCTACGCAAATGGCAAACATCATCAAACATCCCATAAATGATCATAAATGTATGCATGATATTTCATGGATCATGATTTTCATCAATAACTGATGTGGACTTCTCGTCCTTATTTCAGTTATAGTTCCTGTGGTCCTGTGGTCCTGTGGTCCTTGTGATGATTTCTTTGTGGATACCATGTTCATCTGGAAACATAACGGGCCCTCAAACACCGAAGCAACAGGGTCAACTTGTATACCAACAAGAGTGTGTGATACCCTCTGGTAAACTAACATAACTATGGAAAATCACCATTTTTAATGGGAAAATCCACTATAAATGGCCATTTTCAATAGCGAACTGTTAGTTTACCAGAGGGAATCTACTTTGGTTACCCTGTAGTGAAGGATGCCATTCTGAGTTGATCCTGGGCCATTGATGCTGGCTGCTCAATACGTGCATCCGACTCGTGCCCTGGGTCTATATCGCATATTTTCGCATATATTTCTTGATAGGTGCCATTAAAACTACTGGCTGGTGCTTTGGAACATTTTTTATTTGTCCATATATTGGGAATAATCCTTCCCATTGATTAATATTTTTCAAGAGCTGTTGGGGCCCGATACCTTCCAGTAGGTTCAGCTGTGCGTACTGAAGTCGGGCTGGTAGTTGTACTAGGTGGTTGCCATGGTACCTCAAAATTGGGGTGATCTTACGGTGGATTCTCAAGTGCAACTGGTCTTTTCCATGGTTTGTCGTGGGGACACCCCAGCTGGACCTCATCTAGTTCAAAGTGCTGACAGAAGAGGGGCAAAGATTTGGGTGCATGGTAGTCTTCCCTCTGGTCAGCTGTTGGGGGGTCTTGGCCTACAGGTGACTTCTTTGAGTCCGATTCATCTCAGCATTGTGGATTCCTCCTATGTGTACGCCATTCCGCCTTGTGTTCGCTTTGGTCTGTTTCAGGTTGTCGATCTCTGCTGTGGACTTGGTGGCTTCTCGTGTTTGCTTGGCAGGGTTGGCATGAGACTGAAGTTTGGAGTAGACCATAACGCTAAGTGGGAGCCTCTTTTTCGCTTGCTTCATCAGCCTGATGCTTGTTTCTTGCATGGTGATATCAATGATCCGGCCATTGTTCGAACCTTGGTTGAAGGAGGTTGCCTCCATGGTGTTTTGTGTGCAGGAATCAGCTGCAATGCTCATTCCATCTTGGGTGATCAGCTTGGCATGAGTGACCCACGTTCACTGAGCTTACCAAAGGCTCTTCAGACAGCCTACATGTTGCAATCCGCTTGTTTTGTCCTTGAGTGCACCCCTGCCATCATGAGAGATCAAGAAGCACAGACCATCATCATGAAGTTTGCTGAAGCAACAGGGTACAAAGTTTCCCAAACATTGGTCCAGCTTTCTAACTCTTGGTGCAGTCGGCGTGAGCGTTGGTTTGGCTTGTTTTGTGCTCCGCTGTTGGGTGCCTGCAATCTTGTGGATTTGCCTGCCTTGAATGTCTGTCCAGTGGTCCGAGATCTGATGCCTGTCATGCACACTTGGCCTGAACACGAACAAGCGCAGATCAGTTTGAATCTGTATGAGTTGGCAAAGTACTATAGCTATGCCTCAGGTGGGATTGCAAATGCCTTTTTGCAGCCGGACGGCAAACTGCCTACTCTGTTGCACAGCACTGGCAATGCTCTCTATGATTGCAGTTGTGGTTGTAGACCTGCTTTGAGTGAGGCTAGGGTGCAGAATCGGGGATTGATTGGTATCCTTGTGCCTACAGGAGGTTCACAGGTCCACATGAATCAGGTGATGGAACACTGTAGGTATTTGCACCCTGAAGAAATGTGGTGTCTGATGGGTGGAATGCCAGGGCTTGATTTTGGACCTCACTTGCGCTTGGCCATGGGTGGAATTGGACAAGCTGTTTCTCCAATTGCCGGGCTTTGGATTTTCGCCCAAATCCGTCGCCATTTGGATTCCTTTTTGGATTGCACTGACCGTTTGTGCCCTCACCAGGTCTTGTCTGCGTATGTCCATGAAGTGAAGCAGCGGTGTCTTGCAAAGTGGCCTCCCCCGATCCCCCCTACTGTGCCTGACCCCATTGTTGAGGTTGACGCTGAAATGCTTGAGCTTGACTTGGTTTGTCCTGCTGATGGTGACGTCATCCAAACCATCAGATGTCCGACTGGCACCACTTGTGCTCAGCTTGTTGCTGCTGAAGCCAAGCTTGGAACGTTGGACTTTGACTTTGAGGTCACCGTGAATGGTGATCCCATTGACTTGAACAAATCGTTGGATGAAAAGGTGCTTGTGACGTTGGTGCCTTCTGGATGGGATGTGCGGTCGCAGTATGTAGAAGCTGTTGCGTGCTGTTTGGATGAAGATTGCACTGCTGAAGGGGACAGGCTTGGAGCGGTAGTGGCTCCTGGCGCTGAAGTGACCAGCATTGGCCAGCTCTTGGACTTGCGTCGCATTGTCATGCCCCAGGCGCAGCGCCTGGAGATCCTTTCGCGTCAGGGACCTACATGGGGTGATGATGAGTTGCTCTATTGGCTTGAGCACTGTGCAACTTCGGCTGATGAGCTGCAGAATGTGGTTGTTTGGGATCCTTTGTTGATTTCTGGACTTGTGCTTGTTGACAACCCTGGCACATGGGCGCAGCTCACTGCAGTGTTGGCAAAGGTTGTGACGGTGATTTCTGCAGTTGTCATTGATCAGCATTGGGTCCCTTTGGTGTGGAGACTTGATGAGGTTGGTTGCAAGCTCTTCACTGGCTCCATCAAGGAGTCTCATGGTTCAGTGATGCAGACCTTGGCACAGATTCCTGGACTTGGTAGGAATGGACAGCTTGGTGTATGGACTTCTTTGGATTTTGGATTTCAGGTCACTTCCCACTGTGGTGCGGCTGTCATTGCGTTTGTGCGTCATTTACTGTTGGAAACCCCAATGCCTCGATCACAGGATGCTGTGAACTCTCTGGCTAGTGCCTTGCGTTTGGACTTTGCCTCTGGGTTGCTTCAGCAGTGCATGGTGCCCCGTCTTGCTGGTCTTGGTCAGGTTGACTTGGAAGCGTTGTGTGCTTTGTTGGTTCAACAAGGGGTTGCTGGTGATGAAGTGAAACTGCGTGCTCAGACCCTTCTTTGTGCCTTGGGGGATGGACCTGTTGCCAAAGCGCTTACTGCAGTCAATCCTTGGCGGGAGCTCAAGTGGCTAGCAAACCAGCAGAGGCCACCGTTCCTGATTGTCAAGCCCTCAGAATTGAATGAAAAGGTGAAACAGCGACAGGGCAAGGGATCAGTTGGTCAGAAATCACATAAACATGCCAAAGGCAAAGGAAAAGGCTCAAAGCCAGGGGTTGTGTCGTCCTTGGATCCTACTCGACTTCGCTTGGAACTTGGTTTGCTTCAGAGCACTGATGGGACCCCGCTTGCTCAGGTGTCTTTGCCCCAAGTTGCATCGCATGTCTCTGGAGTTGTGTTGACCACTTTGGCTTTGGCTGGACCGTACCTTCGGGCAGCCAGCATCGTGTCCACTGGTGCACTTGCGTTCTTTTTGGTTGACACTGTCCTTCCGCTGACTTCGGGGTTGCGTTCCACGGTTGTGACTTTGCCTTTGATCTGTGCTGAGAATTCCGAACCTTTATTGGTGGAAGGTTTGTTGGTTCAACTTGGTGCCACCCCGGTTTGTCGTCCGGATTCCACAGTTGGCTGTCAGGTTCAGTCTATCCCGACTTGCGTCGTCAAATTCATGGTGTTTCGGGACATGATTGTCGGTGATTGGAATCAGGTTGTGGCTCATCCGTTGCAGTACATCATCCAAAAAGTTTGTCCTTTGCAGGTTTGTTCGGATGAAGAGTGTCCAGGGTGTGAAGCTTGGCACCGTACGGATCAGTTTCCAGTTGATTCTCCTATCCTTGAAGTTTGGGGTCGGCAGTGGATGAAACAGACCTTTGCCTTTTGCAGTCCTGAAGAAGCTGAAGTTTATGCTGTTCACTTGAGGCTTCCAGAAACGCTTCAAATTTCTGTGCAGGAGTTTAGTGGTACCCAAGGGGTGTTTGCTGAACCCAAAACGGTTTGTGGCCGAAAACCCTCAACGGTTTTTCAGGTCATTTGGACTCCACGTACTTCCTTGAGTCAGTTGGTCATGCAGAGACAGACACTGCCTGAGGTCTGTGGCGTCGCACGTCTTGGGGCCAAACTTGGCTTGAGATGCAGAGTTGAACATGCGGCTGCTCTCTCAGCCAAGATCCGTCCTGAACAGGTCTTTTTGCCAGCAGGTGATCGAATGACTTTTCTGGTGGGTCCAATGCCTTATGGTACTTTGCGGTCATCCCTGACCAAGACACTGGGTGATTTCGGATGGACTGTCCGTCCTTTGCAGCCGGTTTCCACTGGGACACAAGTGCAGGGGCTCATGTTTCGGGTCCAAGCCATTGCAGAACCCCCCAAAAAGGTGCTGAGGATGTCGCATGGAGATGTGGTCGTGACTCGTGAAACGGAAGTTGCCCAAGTTGCACCTGCTCTGCCGTCAGTTGTGGCTTCTCACAATACTGTCTCCAAGGCCTCCTCTGACCAGATGGTTGATGAGCTGCAGATTCATGATCCCTGGGCAAAGCCAGGCCCCAGGACTCAGAAGCTTGCACCGCAGACAGTGCACTTGCACAATCCTTTGGAAGACATGGAACAACGAGTGGTCTCAGCAGTGTTGGCGCAGCTCCCTCGTGCCAGCATGGATGTTGACAGTGAAGGGACTCATGATCCCAGGGTTGATCACCTTGAAAAAGAGATGCATGAGCTGAAGCAGCATGCCCAATGCTTGCAGGAATCCATGTCCCAACATGCGGCTGACCACAACAAGCAACTTCATGAGGTTCGTGACCAGATGCAGCAGCAGGGTGCCCATTTTGAAGCAGCAATTGCCAGCCATGCTTCCCAACTGCATGCTTTCCAAGAATCGTTCCAGGAACAATTCCGACAGCAGTCCGTGAATCAACAATCTATGTTGGATAGCATGTTTCATAAGCAAATGAGCCAATTTGAGTCACTTTTGGCGAAGCGCCACCGTCCTGAGTGAGGGTGCCCAGTTGTTTGGAAACCTTCCCTGAACAATTGGGATGGACTGGTGGGAGGTACATTGCCCTTTTTGCTTTGGTTCGTTTTGGCGCTCATGACATGGTATGGCAGCTACATGGCCGTTCCGGTGGTCTTCATGTCTTTTTGGATTTTGGCTGTTCAGTCGCTTGGGTCGGGGAATGCAGGTTGTGTGCAGCTGCCTTCTTGCACTTGGCCCGTTGGCTGGACTTGGACTTATGCCTGGGCTTTTGGGAAAGAATCAGGTGCGGTTCAGAGTTCCCGACCAGTTCGAAGGAGCTGGTTGTTCTTTGCGATTTTGAGTGGACTTCTTTTGCGGGTTGGGGAGGCATCACATCCGGGGCCCGAAGGGAATGGCATCTGGACTTTTGGAATTGCCAACCCTTCGGGTCTGAATACGAAGGTGGATCAAGTCGCTCACATGGGCGGACATGCTTGGATCTTGAGTGAAACCCAACTCTCTGTGACTGGGGTCCGAGGTTTTGTTAAGGGGTTGAGAGCTGTGCAGTCTCCTTGGCAATCGGTTGTTCCAGGTGCTCCTTGTCCCTCAAGGAATCAGTATGGCACAGGTTCGCATACAGGTGTCATGCTGCTGAGCCGATTTCCAGCGCGAGCCTTGCCCCAACAGTTTGCTGAACATACCTACAGCACAGCCAGGTTGCAGGTTGCCGGGATGGTGGTTGGAGACACATGGATTACGGTTGGGATGATGTACGGTGTCACTGCCAATGCACAACACAAACAGGCCAGGTATACCACTGAGGTCTTGTTGGCCGAATTGGTTGAACGAGTTGGGTATCAGAGCACAGGACCAAGGATCATAGGTGGTGATTTCAATTTTGCAGCAACCGAGCTTGACCAAACACAGCGCCTCTTGGACTTGGGCTTTAGAGAGGTGCAAACACTTGCAGCACTTTGGGGGGGGCGGTCGGTTGTTCCTACGAGTCGAGGACGGAAGTGCATTGACCAGCTTTGGATTTCTCCTGAGTTGCAGGCACTGCTGACTGACGTCCAAGTACATCATGACATGTGGTCTGACCATGCTGCAGTTGTGGCTTCTTTTCGTTCACCGGGGGGTGGGGTGTTTGACTACTGGCGTGTTCCTCAGCAGTATCCTTGGCCATCTGATTGGACTTGTTCAGTTGATTTTGATGTCGAGGGTGACTTGACAGCTGAGTATGCCAAGTTTTGGAATCAGGTTGAAACGCAAGCGCAATTGTGGAATTCGCACCATGGACTTGTGTGCAAGCGCTCTCAACTTGGCAGGGGTCAAACTTTGGAAACGGTCCCTCGAAAGCCCTATCAGGTACCCCGCCGAAAAGCCAGAGTGGGCGAGGTTGCTCCGACTTTCCTCGGGGTTAGCCTCCAACATGCCAGGTATTTCAAACAATTGAGGCGTCTTCAAGCCTTGTCTCAACAGCTTAGGTCTGGACTTGGTACCTTGAATTCTCAGTTGAACCGAGAGGCTACTTGGAGGGCGATCCGGTTTGCAGCGGGCTTTCCTGGAGGATTTGGCATCTGGTGGGGCGTGCAGGGGTTGAGTCCCGTCTGGCCGGTTGGACTTCCGTTGGTGTGCCCTTCTGCTACTGACCTTGGGGCTATGTTTGAGTCTATGGCGGCATGGGTTAAGCAATATGAGATCCGTCTTGCCCAGCGCAGATATCAGTTTGGCAAACAACGTCGCGTTGATAGCCTTAAATATGTTTTCAGTGACTGCAAGCTTGCTCCTGCTCCACAGGTTGATACTTTGATTGACCGTCTTGAGGTGGCCATAGAAGAGGTGCGGGTAGAGGAGAGTGCACTCGTGTTGGTGCGTGCGGTTCGGTTGTTGCCTGACCTTCCCGTTGTTGTCCAAGGGCGTGTCATGCAGGTCATCCATCATGAGGCCGATCAGATTTGGGTTGAAGATGTGTCGGGGGTCGTCGCTGGCCAGTTGCTGATCCAAGAAAAGGCTACCACATCTGAGGCCGCTATTATTGCTCGGTTTCATGATGTTTGGGAGCCCCGCTGGAACAAAGCCCATCATGTTTCACCGGGGCAATGGGATCAAATCTGTGGTTTTGCCGAGCGTGTGATGAAACCACTTGAGTGGCAGTCGCAACCTTGGACTTTGCAGCGATTTGTAACGGCTGTTTCGCGCAAGAAGAAAACGTCTGGAAGGGGTCCGGATGGGGTTTCACAGCCTGACCTGGCTGCACTTCCTGCTACGGCAGCGGCTGCTTGTGTTTCTATGTTTGAAGCGGTTGAGGGGGGCAAGCGTTGGCCTGAGCAACTGGCCGCGGGCTATGTCAATAGCCTGGCAAAACACCTTCAAGCCCAACATGTTGATGAGTTTCGGCCAGTTACGGTGTACAGCCTTCTTTACCGGATTTGGTCCACAGAGAGAGCCAGGGAAGCTCTCAGAACTGTTGCAGCGGTGATCCCAGATAGTGTTCAGGGCGGGGTACCGGGGAGGCAAGCCAAAGCCATCTGGTATGATGTGGCACAGACATTGGAATTTGCGTTTCTTGATGGCTGTGCGGTGCATGGTGTGTTGTTGGACATTTCCAAAGCGTTCAACGCTATCCCTAGGTATCCCCTTTGGTTTGCACTTCGGCTCATGGATTTTCCTGTCGGTGTGATGCGGGCTTGGTGTTGCTTTGTGTCGGCCCAGACACGTAGGTTCAAGGTACGGCAGGCAGTTGGCAAAGCAGTGGGCTCCAATTGTGGACTTCCTGAGGGGTGTGGCCTATCTGTCTTTGGTATGATCATTGTTGATTGGCTTTTGGACTTGTGGTTAGCTCAGCTGAACAAAGGGATCAACTTGAAGGCATTCATCGATGACTGGGGGCTGAGATTCCACTCAGTTTTGGACTTCCCCTTGCTGTGGCCTAAAGTTCAGGACTTTGTGACTGCCATGGATTTGTTGTTGGACTTGAAGAAATCGCGCCTCTGGAGTACAGATGGTGCAGCCCGAGCTGACTTGCGTGATTTTGATGTAACACTGGCTCACTTTGCCCGCAACCTTGGGGCTCACCAGAACTTCACACGTCACTGTTGGAATTCTGTTCTCCAAGAGCGCCTGCGCACCATGCCTCAGGTTTGGACTTTGTTGCGTGCCAGTTTGTCTCCCTATCACCTCAAGCTCAAAGCACTGCCAATTTTGGGGTGGCCCCGTGCGCTTCACGGGATTGCGGTCGTGCACCTTGGTCAGGCTCACTATCGGGTCTTGCGGTCGGGCGCCATGAGGGGCCTGCGTGCAGAGCGGAAGGGTGCCAACCCTGTCCTTCACTTGGCCAGTGGTCAGTTTTTGGCCGACCCAGAAGCCTGGGCGATTTGTCAGACCTTTCGGGATGCGCGGGAACTTGGTGGCTATGAGCGCATGGAGCAAATCCTTGGGCTTTTCACTGACTCAGCAGACATGTTGCCCAAGAATGGGCCAACCGCGGTGTTGCTGTCCCGTATACGTCGCCTTGGTTGGGTCGTTGGAGGTGGTGGACTTATCCAAGATAGTCTCGGTACTTTCTCCCTGTTTGATGCGGCGTGGGATGAAATTGGTGTTCGTATGCGTTTGGCTTGGTCTCATGTTCTTTCGGTTGAAGCCGCCCATCGGCCTACCTTTGGTGGTTTGGACTCGGTTGATGTTGTCGCTACCCAACAAGCAGTTGAGCATTTCAGCCCGGCAGATCAAGTTTATCTCCGTTGCCATCTTGACGGGACGTTATTTGTTCAAAACGGCAGGGCCAAGTTCCAACCTGGCGTCTCAGATGTTTGTCCTTGGTGTGGTCAAAAAGATGGATTTCTGCATCGGGCTTGGGTTTGTGTCCATTTTGAGCATTGCAGGGGTCATTTCACACCTGCCCAGAGGCGTGCTGCTTTGGACTTGCCGGAGTGCTTCTCTGTCCATGGTTGGGCCGTTGTCCTTGAGGAGTGGCGTGTCTTTGTCGGTCTTCTCCTTCAGGATTCAGGGTTCTCACGGATGTCACCTGTTGGCCTACCCAAACTTGCAACTTCCCAGTGGTGTGACTTGTTTCTTGATGGCACGTGTGCTCACCCAAAAGAACCTATGCTGCGTTTTGCGGCTTGGGCGGTGACTCTGGCCAGTGGTGGCCCTGGTGTGTTGGACAATCAGCTCACTCTTGCAGGACATGTTACTGGCCTTTGTCAATCGGCTTTTCGTGCAGAATTGATGGCAGTCTATGAAGCACTGCGATGGGCATCTCAGAGGTGCCTACGAGTCAGGTTGTGGAGTGACTGTCTGGGGGTGGTTCAAGGGGTTCGAAGACTGCTTTCAGGAGGAGTCGTCAAACCTAACAAAGCGCATTCAGATTTGTGGAGAGCCATTGCCTCAATTTTGCATGAGGGGGTGATTGAGGTGCAGATTATCAAAGTGGTTTCACATTGCAGCATTCGCTCCGCTACCAACTGTGAAGAGGAATGGGCATATTGGCACAACCAACTCACTGATCAGGCCGCTGTTGCGGTGAACACAAGGCGACCAGACGAGTTTTGGGTAGCGTGGGATGCGCTATCGATTGCGCTGACCGAGCGGCGCAAGCTACACATGGCAGTTTTGCAGATGCTACTGAAACAGAGTCGTTTTGCTCACAGGGCCCAGCAGAAAGAAACCAAATCAGTTGTCCCAGTCGCTAGTACGCCTGTCGCTAGTACGCCTGTCGCTAGTACGCCTGTCGCTAGTACGCCTGTGGTAGTTGCACTGCCGACCCCACCGGTGTGGAAAAACCCAGAAAAGATGTGGAAGCGCTATGGGCGCGTCAATGTGGATGCCATTCATGCGTGGTGGTCTGAATGTGGCACAGCTGCATTTGCTGGCACTGAGGCAATCAAACTGGTATCTGGTTTGCAGTTGTTTTTGGATTTCACATGGAGCACGGGCCACGAGGGGCCATTTGTACACCGCAAAAAGTGGTATGCCCAAAAACATGAGATTCCCAAAGCGTGTGTGACCAATTATGGTGAAAGGGTTCGCGTTTTTCTTTCCATTTGGGGGACTTATTTGAAGAATCATGGGTTGAAAGTTCCGAATAAGGTTGCTCGGCCTTGTGGGGATTCTATTGCGAAGTTTGTGGTTTGTTATTATTTGCGTTGGCCTAGTTCCAAAGTTGCTATGGTTGATTCTCATGTTTTTGGATCAATGGGGCGCCAGCTGGCATCTCATAGAGATTTTGGCGCGGTTTCACCTTGTCGGCAATGACCCGCAGTGTTCGCAGCTCGGATGGGTGCGGAGGCCGCTCGCTGCCTCCGTGCCTTCTCATAAACCGCAATAAACCGTAATATTTTTCAGAGGGGTTGAAACCACCAACCAGATGAGTGGTTACTCTTACCCAAACCATCCGTTTCCCCTCTTGGATGAAGCACAAAGCAGTCACACTCATATCGAAGGGGAAGGCAGCGGAGGCAATCGATTTAAAACGCTTTGCTAGGTGATGACTGGCAATCGGATGTTTGTGCGGTGTTCAAAACACCAACCGTTTGTGGCTCGATTTCCACTCTAGCATTTCTATCCTTTCTCTTTTGAAGATTTGAAGATGTCATTCCTTTGTGAAACCGCCCAGTCCTTGACACAACTCCCAGGATACCTATTTTGCGCGGCAAGCTAGGGCCGACGCAATTTGACTTGTCCTTGGGAACCCTTTGTGGGCTTTGGAACACGCGCTTCCTGCAATACTGTGCCCAGCACCATCCTCTGGTGGTTCCTCTTTGCAGCTGTGTAGCATCGTGGAGCAAGATTCAAGGAGAAGGGAAGAGCACAATGATCGTTTGGATGGTTTCATGCTCAACATGTCTAAAATTGATGCTGTTTCCTTGGAAAATAACCCACTTTTCAACTTTCAGCTGGTCAGCCAGTGATTCTCCGTTCCAACAATTATGTGCCGAAGATCTTTGACCATCTTGATCCCAGACTGTCAGTGTAAAGTAATCATAATCCCGTTGTCATTACGCACCAATTTGCCGACCATCAACTCAATAGATTGCCATGTCTGCAGCTGATCTCGATCCAATATTTTTTGGTGAGTATTGTGAAGGCTTAAGATGCACAGGAACTACAGATCTAGATTCGAAATCCAATCGCTTTAGGGTAGTCCACATTGACATGGACCCTTTCCAAGTTCCTTCATGTTCCTTCCACAGTTTGCCCTGAGACTTCTGCTGCCAGAAATTGGTCACCCCTTGGCTTCCAGGAGTGAACGATTCGCCCAATGGACTCCTGAGCACTTATTCCGCTACTGGTCTTCCTGTGGATTTAAGTGACAACAATCCAAGCGGCGGGGATGTGATGGGAAATATGGGAATACCGGGTTCTTCAAAAAAACACAGCAGCCAAACAACTTGAATTCTAGCGAACCAGCTGGACACCCCTTGTCCCCCAATTGAAACGTTGTGTAAAGGCAGTGCTTGGAGAAGCCTTAAAAAACGAAAATAGACATTCTTGCTTCGTCTATTGAGAAGGGAGGGTTAGCAACATTTTTACAGGGGCTCCGGGGGCTTCCGATGAATGTTGAAACTTTTTGGTGGATGATTTTTTTGAACCCGGTTTCATGGCTGATATGACTACAACCATTTTGTGGGGATACAAGGGAAATATAATATACATAATATAATAATATAGCACTCTTGTGGGGTTACATCTTGTAAAGACAACATTCTAAAGTCAACCAGTTTATGGGGATAATGGTATATACGACCAACACTGTGATTTCGGCTTTGCCACCCACAAATGGCACTCTAGTTTGGAAAATGGTGATCAAGCATGATATTGCATATGATCTGGGTAAATTATAACGACCTCACTGCGACCTCACTGGAATCATGGTTAGTAAGGGGAATCATCCCCAAATGGCCTTATTTCAGGTTAGTGAATTATTATCATTTACCCAGATATGATGGAATGGGGTAGCCTATCTTCAGACAAACAACATCAAACAACAAATCCTGATTGCTTCTCCAAATTCGTGGCCCCCCAAACCAAGGGCTTCTCCATGTGTTTTGTTGGCAGTCCCACTTGTTATGAAAGCCCATTGGTCTTTAACTAGTCCAACTAGTCCAACTAGAAAGGTTTCCATCATTTTTTTCGTCCGCGTGTCTGTGTCCAATTGATCCCCAAAGGATCCGGGTTTTTGCACAGGGTCCTCCCTTGTTGGTCGAGACTGGCCAAAGGAAGGTGCTCTTAGATGCTCTTAGGTGATACGTCAACATTTATATGAATATACTGTATACATATAATTATATTATATACAATATATATGTATATATATATATATGAATATATATATATATAATTACAGAATATATATATATATATACATAATTATATATACATACACACGTAATTATATATGACTATATTATATTGCACATGACTATAATATTTATATTTGCCATCCATGGTTTTATGCTGTTTCTTTAGATCTTGCTGTTGGTCATCTTCTTCCTCCAACTCCGCGGCGATGAAACCCTGCGCCCAGCGGATTTCCGAACGCCGCCGGCGGATCCACCGCTGGTTGCGGCTCCGCCAGAGGAATTGGGTCGGAGCCTGGTGGAATTCTTTGCCTTCGTTGGCAGCTTCAGGTGCAGAGGGATAGGGATTTCACCATGGGATAAAGGCTTTTATATGATTTTGATGTTTTTTTTGCATATAGGCTATAGGTGTTTTTTCATTTTTTTTCAGTATCAAATTATTTGGTGATATCATTGATATTGATATTGATAAATGATGGATTGATGCTTAGGGTATCTCAGGGTTATACCATCGAGTAATTACACTTTCGAATATTGCGAGAAATCCAGGGAGATGTTTCAGTTGTCGGTAATGCAGCTGATACACCTCCCCCATAATTGGTTGATTCTCGGTGTGATTTTGTGGTAGTGGGAAATTTGCACGACAGCCCAACAAATTTCGGGGTAAAAACACCATTGTTTCAACCGCTTAAATTCTCTTGATTCAAGCCATTGAAATCTCAATTTGAGTTGGCACAAACCTTTCATGTACCGTCTGGTAAAAGTCCAGCATACATTTGCTGCAATGCCACCAGGGTGATCTTATCCACCGTTTCTCCATTTCCTGAAAGCCAACATTGATCAACATTGATCATCTGGTGTTTTCCATGGTTTTTCGGCTTTTCCATGGCCAGGTGGGACTGCTGGGTGGCCTCGGTCCGCGCCGGATGCGCGCTGCCGCGCAGCGTGAAGGGTCGCGCCTGGCGCGTGGCGCCGCTCTGTGTGGAGGATCCCTTCGAAACGCACCTGAACACCTGCAGGTGGGGACAGGGGACAGGGATGATATTGATTCATGCATAGATAGATAGATAGATAGATAGAAAGATAGATAGATAGATAGATAGATAGATACTTTGATAATCTTTGATAGACAGATAGATAGAGGTAGAGGTAGGGATAAGGATAGGGAGAGAGACTGTGGGTGGATAGGTGGATAGGTGGATAGATGGGTAGATAGGTAGAGAGATAGATAGATATATAGGTAGATAGATAGATAGGTAGGTAGGTAGATAGATAGATAAACTATAGTTTTGGTTTGTCTTACCTTCTTTGTGTTGTTGGTTGGGCGTCGTGAAGCTCCAGGCGTGTCAATCCCCGAGCCCGGCGGCAGATCTTGGCAGCCTTTCAAACAGCGCTCAGGACAGCGGAGGAGAAAACTCATAGTGATGATTCGTGATTATTAATGATGAATAGATATTGAATTAATATCTATTCATCATTAAAAATCACCAATCATCACTATGAGTTTTTTTAATTAATAATCACCAATCATCACCAATCATCAATATTATTAATAATAGTAATGCTTAATTTAATAGTGATTATCGATGATTAATTATCCCATGATTATCTCATAGATCACTTTTTTTGTTGGGTGTACCACCTTATAAACCACTTATATAGATGGGGGATGATATACCATCCCATTATTTTCGTGTTAGTAAAGCAACGGGCTCCACCATCCCCAGTGACTTACAATTTTTATGGGTGGGATTGAAACTATCAATCCATATTGGGTGGTTTATGGCATTGCTTTCCCAACATTACTAGGAACATCTAGGAACCAGTGGAATCATGGAAGACCCATGCCATATTTTTGAGGCACAACAAAAACTGACATAGATTGATGTTTACATTTTTTCAAAGATGTCAAGATGACAATATGAAGATGTCCTGCGATGTTCTTTTCAATGGATTGGTTTAAGGGAAAATCTACAGGAAACCATCGATTTTCCCATGAAATATGGGGCTTTCCTGTAGATTTTCCCTTAAAAATCGCAACGTTGGATCCCCATGGCTCCATGGTCAGGGATCCACCAATATCCACTGGGATCCATCAGCGAAATGTCAGGAATCTCTTGCAAGGTAAGGGCTTGCAAGCGCTTCTCGGAGCATTTGATGCTTGGAGAAACCTATGGCCCTTTTTGGCAGACGTGCGTTTTTGACGCTGCTGTTTGGGCGCCAAGTTACACTTTACAGAAGCTCTTGAGTTTGCACACGTCCCACGAATTAGTTGGATTTCAGAAATGAAGGAAAAATGCCATGGCATCGCTAGACTGCTTTGTTGCAACATAGAATCACAGGAACCTCGGAACCATGGAACCCTCAATATTATTTGGACTGTGAGCGCCATGTTTTCCTACATTTTCCTAGATAAAATATCATAAAATCACCCTTAATTCAACAAGGGTGACATGCACAGGAAAGCCCCGAGCCTCTGCCTGCCCGGATCTATGCAGCGGATGAGCTGCGATGTGCGATCGCTCGGAGGAAAAACGTGCGGACAGGTCAAGATGGAGGATACCCAAGTTGATGGCATTTTTTTTGCGGAAATCCGATCATAAACCTTTTTTTTTGGGGGGCGCTTCCCAAGTTTTAGGATTTTAGACACCATTGGGTGATTGGGGGAGACTTGAATCTGCTTTTTTCTCTCCCCTTTTCTATTTGGAATGTAACCCCTTGTACTGTGAGGTTTGATTTTGGGCGTGCTTGCGATCTCTTGGGATGGGATTCTGTTTGGAGTTGGTGGTCTATGTTTTCTTGAAACATGGGTGAAAAAAATCGCAGAAACACGAATTTTTAGTGATGATGATGATCAATCAGGATGGAATGGGGTTCCCAAGTTCGAGATATGTTTCATATTGCATTTACCATTGCCACTAAAAAACTTGAAACTCCTCGAAACCGATGGCCAAACTGGCCAAACTGGGCAGGCGGAGGCTGGAAACTTTCCCTTCTGCACCATTGACCCCAATATGGGCAAGGCCAAGGCAGAGTTTTTCTGGCGCAGACTGTAAGCCTGGATGCCCCGACGTTTTCCACTCAATTGCAGTGAAATCTGCAAAATCCTCATGTTGAATACTTTTGATGTATCCCTTTACATAAATTGCAATGTTGGAGATTTTCGCGTCAGGTTTTCAATATATATATATATATTATAGTATATAATTATATATATATAATATGTGTCCATATGTGTCCATATGTTTGCAAAAAAAATGGAGAGTCCCATAAAGCCCCGAAAGTCAAGAGAATCAGCAGGAATGCCACGTTGATTTTCCATCGTCAGGGGGGCCTTTTGGATATTTACTTGGGATATGAAGAGCAGTTTGTAAGTGACCGCCACGTAAATTCATCCATATGATTCTATAATATTCTATATACTATATATAATCATACAATATATATATATATACACCCTATAGAGTCAAGTACCTTCTCAGGAGGTGTTTGGATCCATAAGGATATATGTTATATGTATACGGAAAAACACTATTAAGAAGTTACCAACTGGGATTCACATCCAAGTAAGTTTGAACATTTCGCCCGGCCTCAAGTGCTTAACAAAAGAGCCCTGCACAGTACTTGCTCCAGCCGTCCGATCCTCAGTGGCGAAAGGTTGGGTCAGATGAGCCATGAAAATGCTGTTGGTTGGTTGGCTAGTTACGGCTAGTTGGTTATCATCTTACTTGTGCTTAGTAGGGAATGAGGGAATGATCCACAATAACTATTAATGTTAATCCCATTCCCCCATTCCCATCCATTCCCTACTAAGCACCAGTAAGTCATAATTAGATATAATTAGTGGCTTATACCACCTGGTTGAATTGTGATGGTGAGCTCAACCACAATAGCAAGACCTAGTATCCAAGCGTGACAGGTGTATTTTTCAATGGCTCAGATTGTTTGTCTTTTCCGAACATTCAAAAAGGGCTCCTGAAAAGGTTCGAAATGTTAAAGCCTTGCTATATTGATATGTTGATTTCTGATATTCTACATTTTTCTACATACTTGTTGTTTATGTTGGGATCACTATAGATCCACAAGATGTTACGAGCTCCAAGTTCGAGATATCCCTCATGATCTCTGAGATTTTTTCGATCTCGAAGGGTCCAGACATCAGATCAAAGCCAGTCAAAATGAGTCAGGAACTATAGATACCGATACAATCATAATATGTATAATATATAGTTGTATATATATAGTTATAATATACACATATATGATTATATATAGAATTATATACATTTTATACATATATATATATATATACCTATACATGGATCTATTTTCATACCGGGGGTTGTTCCATTTTTAATTTCTGACGCATTTTGGATTCCCCGACGCAACTCCCAAGCTGAGGTTTGGCAAAGACTCCCCGCGGACGTTTTTAAAAACGTCGTGGCAGGGCTGCGGCGTATGGGCTGCGTTTCCTGGCGGCCAACGGCTTGATTGGCGGCCTTGCTGTCGCAGTTATAGGTCGTTTGTGGTGTTTTTGTGCGGGTTCTACACATCTTGGAATTGGTTATAAGTTATGTTATTATGATTATAATGTCATAATATCATTTTTGTTAATGATGTTTTAGGTGCTTCCGGTTCCTTCAACTTACACGTATCTAAATCTATTCTTTGGCCGTCTACAACCCCTGTTCACCTTACAATACAGCCTACTAGGTTGGTGTCCACCAGAGGGTCATCGATGCCAACAGGGCCATCATGAGGTCATCTTGGGGTTAACTTTGATCATTGTGAAACCACTTGGGTATGGGTCAATACCTATTAATACCATTTTTAGTGGGATGAACATCCATTTACCAGCTATTTTGGGGTTCACTATATAGGTACCAGGGTTTTGACCCATCCCCACTTCATCAAGCAATGACTAGCTGAACCGAGTCCCTCCAATTTCGCTCTCAGTCCGAAGCACCATGCAGTCATGGGTCGATTCTTCATGAGACGTGCGGATGAACATGGAAGGAGATGGAAGGAGTGTTTTTTTGAATTCCAAGGTCGGTTTGGTTTTTGTAATATCTGGTAGTAAGGGCATCTAAGGGCAAATATCCATGAACATCCAGTAATTGTATACACTGCCCAGCAGTTCCATAAGGGTTCATTTGGTTGAATTACATATATTCTCCCAGCTGAAAATAGCTGTTCTCATACGGCCATTTGGGGATTCTCCGCCGTTGGAACTGATATCCAAGGTGGCGAGTACTGCAGATATCAGCGAGCCGGGACCGATATCTTGCAATTTGGGTCTGAAAATGTGGAATAAAAAACAACCTGGACACATTTGAATGGGAAAAACTTAGGTTTTGAAATGTTTGGAATGTTTTTGAACCCATGGAGTTTGGAATGTTTGGAGCTGGAGTTATTTGTATTCGGCAACCATACCAGATTGACCCATCCATTTTTGTAGACATTTGAAACTGAAAGGTTGGATGAACATTGTTGAAATAAGGATCACTGATATATATATATATATATTCATGTTTCCTGTTTCCTGGATGTCTCGCCAAGTCAGCTATTGCGGAAATGGCCAGAGATCCAACGTCTTATCGAATCTCAAGGTGGGTCATTGCCACCACTGGCATCTCACAATCACGGGCAGGGACTGGGAGTCGGAGAAGCGCTCGACCATCCCGCCGTGCTGGCTGTGTGAGACAACTACCATACCATCGTTCGCATCTATCCAGTCGAAAATCCGACCATGGCAGCCACACACAAGCTGCATGGAGCAGCAAAAATTCAGATTGGGGTCGAACGAATTGATGAACAAGACCCAAGTTCCATGACGCCGCTATCTCTTTGAGCATATGTGTGAACCACCTGCACCTCAGTTTGAAAGAAATTCCAACCATACTCGCCGCCGGGCGTGTGGCCGGGTCAATCCACGTCTCAAAGTGCAGTGGTCCTCCCTCTCCTGTGCACAACATGTAGTCAGTGTAGATTTGGTAAAAACTGATCCATCCTGGTGGTCTGTTGGCCTCTGTTAACCCCTGAAGAAACCAGCGTCCCACTGACAAAACCAATCTCTCACCATACTTCTGACACAGATGGCGACCAATCCACGTTACCTCCGGTGGAGCCCTCCAAATGGGCTGCATGGAACGTGGAGGCAAAATCACTTCCCTGACCTCGTCAGGTTCATGGCTTTCTGTTTGGACTTCTTGTTGATGGAAAACAACTGCTCGGCTGATAGACAGTTGAACTGTGCGAACCTGTTGTGTGATGAAACCTGCAAACTCATAATCACGCATGAAAACATGATGAAGATCCCAAAAACTCTGTGGTCGAAGAACATGAGCAGCACGCGCCGCATGGTCGACCAAACTGTTGTAAAGAAAGCACCATGATTCCAAAGCTGAGACACATCCCTGAGGGTCACTGTGGGCTGCTACCTTGGTAATGACAACCATGCCAGAGCCACCTTCACCTAGCAGAACACAAAGCTGAGACCAGAGGTCAAAATGTCTACAATTGGCAGTTGGTTTCCATTGGTTGCGGAGGATGGCACGCACACGGTTAACAACCCCCTTGCAATCACACCAAATGCGCACTTTCAAACGACTATGGTGGGCAATCCTAACTGCTTCCAAAACAGCTCGGAGCTCCGCTCGGTAGGCAGACTGTAGAAGACCCTGAAGTGGACTAGCGGCAAGGACCCTAGACCCAGGATTGGTGCCCACGGCATGTGAAGAGGCTTGCACAACGGCCCAACTGGCCAAGCGCCCTACATGTGTCGGGTGGTGGCATGAGCCATCTGTGAAGAGGTCCAGCCAGCCATCATGTGGTGGGTACATGTGAGTCAGGTCAAAAGGGGTCTCTTGTATGTGCAACAAGGCTTGCATATACTGCTTCCAACACGCTGGTCGCAGGCCCCACCCATAGCTTGTCAAAAATTCAGGCAAAAAGGGAATCATGGCCCATACGTTGGGATCCATGTTGGCCCTGTGCACCTCAAAGGCCTCACATTGCCAAAACCTATGGTATCTAGAGTCAGTGCATTGGCAAAATTGACACATGTTACCATCTTCTTCCTGCCAGTATCTTTGTGCATCGCGAGTGAAGTGTGCACCATTGAGCAATTTACGGCAAAGCCCGGCATCTTCAGTGGGTTGTGAGGCAATCCACTGACGCGTGCCTTGCACATCAGCAAGGTGCAGGTCCTTAAACCCGGCTCGGTGGGCAACTTGCTGTGACACTACCCCCTGCCACGAGAGTTGTGCCCTGAAGTCAATTTCTGCCATCGTGCAAGCAAACAGACAAAAGGGACCAAGAAAGTCTTCAAGCAGACCGTCAGCACGAATTGACCACCCCAGGACCTGGAGCCTGGACAACAAAGTCTGGGTGATGGAGTTACCGGGGATATCCGTCCCCTCCCAAGCAAGTCGCGTCAAAACAGGTTGGACAAAGTCAAGTGCTGCACAATCGCGCACGCTTCTGATGGTTTGCATGACTGACCAATAGCCCGGGTCACAAGCTGGATGTTCGATCAAACCCAATTGAATCCAGGGGCTGCACCCTGCCCCGTCGGCCTGTAACCCGCGGACAGCTCCAGATCTCAACCGCTGCAGGATGCTACGACCAAGACCTGTGGAGGCGACTCCATGAAGACCTCTAGGCCAAGCCGCTGTCGTCAATGCGCGGACTTTGATGCTGTACGGGCAAGGTGACAACCTTAAACGATCCCACATGTCATGCAAAGCATTGACTCGATTCTGAAGCGTGTGATTGGTGTGTTGGAGGGTCAATTGCAGGTGCGCTCCAAGATTTCGCCCTCCATGCTCCACTCGATAGCCTTGTTGTTTTAACTGGCGTCTGCCCTCAGCCGATAAGCACCAAACATACGTCTTCTTCTTATCAAGTTGCAGGTCAACCTTGGCACAAAAAGCCTCGAGGCGGTTCATGGCACTTTGGACATACTGGGGGTCTCGGATCAGCAACTGCCAATCATCAACAAAACTGAGCGTGGTGCAGTGAGGGCTGA